AAAATTAATATTTATATTATTTATAGAATAATTAAAAATAAATATAAAAATAAAATATTTTCTTATATAAAAATATAAATATTTATTTTCTAATATAATTTTATAATATATTATTATTGGTTATTCTTTTATATAATTATAATGGATTTTATTGCGAGCTAGTTGGCTAGCCGGATAATTGTGCTAGAGGTTTTAGAATTCTTGACGGATATTATATATTCTATTTTATTTTTAAACTAGATTTTTCTAATATATTCTAACGATATTTTTATTTATAAATTTAATAAAATAAATTATTTAATTTTATATGATCCCCACTATAATATTTATTTATTTTGATACTGACAAATCTTCTGACATTTTATTTGATATATTTAATGGCATTTTATTTGGTATTTTATTTGGCATATCTTCTGGTATTCTATCTGGTATATTTTCTGGCATATTATTTACTTAATCTTCTGGTATTCTATCTGGCAAATATTTTAACACTTTAATTGATATATTTTTTGATATTTTATCTGAAATTTTATCTGACATTCTTTTTGATATATCTCCTGGCACTCTATCTGACATATCTTATGGCATTTTATCTGACATATCTTATTATATTTTATTTAATATTTTATTTGGTATATTTTTTGGCATTTTATTTGGCTTTCGATGTCCAGCGGTGCGCACTGAGCTCGGAAGGCCGCAGGTTGAGGTCCAGCGGTACGCACTAAGCTCGGCAGGTCCCAGGTTGAGGTCCAGTGGTGCGCACTGAGCTAGGAAGGTCCCAGGTTGAGGTCCAGCGGTGCGCACTGAGCTGGGAAGATCCCAGATTGAGGTCCAGCAGTGTGTATTGAGCTCCGAAGTTGGCGAATGGCTTGGCCAAGTGTTGGTAAAATAACCATGGACGTGGAAGTGGAGGCAGAGGTGGTAGAAGAGGAGGAGGAAGGAGGAGGAGGAGGACGAGGAGGAGGAGGAGGAAGAGAATAAGGAAAATAATTCTGATAAAATCTAAAAATCCTTACCTGACAGGTGGGGAATTTATGGGAAATAGTAATATAATCCTAATATATATATTTTTAAATTTAAATATATAATAAATCTAAATATAATTAAATATATTATACATAAATATAAATTTATATATATATATATATTATATTATATATAAAAATATATATAATAAATATTTCCAGGATCCAGGAAATT